GAAATAATCAAGAAAAAATCAGTGACCATAGATGGCATTCGCTTGAGAAGTGATTGCTCAAATTTAATGATAGCAAACAGTGCTCACTTGTGTATTGGTGCACGAGGGATTGCTGTTGCGGATTCAGTGTTACGGAATGGTCTACCAGAGTCCCTGAAAAAGCCGTAAATGAACATGGATGCTTTCAAGAAGAATCTCAAAACTTATTTGTTTTCGATTTGATTTTTGTTTCGTTATTATGTACACATACTCAAACAATGGTTTATTCTTTTGACTATAAAGTAGCGCTTTTGAAATATTTTCTTTTTTTTAATTGGCGCTTTATAAACTTTGGAAATAAATAAATAAATTGCGTCCAAATAATCTTCAATAGGCTTTATGGCATCAGTTTTCGAACTCCATCTTGTTTCAGATTTTGATTTAAGTGAAATCTTTCATTTTCTGCTATTTATGTGTAGATCGTAAAAATAAAAAAAAAAAAAAAGTCCTGGTTATGGCATTAAACTGACTCTCATTGCCTTGTGAGTGATGTTGGATCACCAAAGGCTAGGCCCACCGCTTATAACTGTGGTTGCGTAAGGAAGGGCGTCCTGCGTAAAAACTAGCCAAAAAAAAACTTATGATGACGGAAATAACAATGGCCCTCAGTATCCGGCAGAAGAGGGTTCGAAGAATCTCCGGAGACCCAGTCCATGGGGTTGTGGTGCAAGACCCTGTGGATGGTCTGGCTACTGGCACCCCACTCTATAGTATGGCGGTGCAAGGCACTATAGATGGAAGGACTATTTGTAGACCAAGGGATTGGAGGTTTGGTACCTGGAATGTAGGCACGTTGACAGGAAGAAGTTTGGAAGTGGTGGAGGAGCTGCAGAGGAGAATGGTTGACGTGGCTGCATTACAGGAAATCAGATGGAAGGGTGAGGGTACAAAGTTTGTGGGGGCTAAAGGTGGAAGATATAAGTTGTGGTGGAAGGGGGATGATGGTACGGGAGGAGTTGGTGTGATGGTAAGAGAAGAGTTGGTGGAGAAGGTGTTGGAAGTGAGGCGGAGAAGCAATGGTGTAAATGTGGTGGTGATGGTGTTTGGAAAAGTAATAGTGAGGGTGATATCAGGATATGCTCCGCAACAAAGTAGGAAGGAAGAGGAGAAGGATAGGTTTTATGATGATGTTTCTGACGAGATTGAGCAAGCGGGGTTGGATGAGTTTGTGGTGTTGTTGGGTGATTTGAATGGTCATGTGGGGGCGGATGCAGACGGATATGAAGGTGTACATGGGGGATGGGGATATGGTATACGGAATGAGGAAGGGCGTAGAGTGTTGGAGTTGGCGGATGCACATAGCATGGTGGTGGGAAATACCTGGCTTACAAGGGAACCAGCGCGATTGATTACATATAGGTCAGGGGAGCATAGGTCAATGATAGACTATATATTGGTAAGGGCCAAACATAGAAAGTATGTGAAGAATGTGAAGGCGATACCTGATATGCTGCAGCATAGTATGGTTGTGATAGATGTGACATCAAAAGAAATTAGGAGGAAGAAGAATAAGTTTGTGGCAAAACGAAAGACATGGAAGTTGCAGGATGCAGAGGTGAGGAAGGCATTTGAAGTGAAGGTGGCTGAAAATTGGGAGAGTGGTAAGGATGGAGATGTTTGGGAGAGATATAGGGACTGTGTGTTGGCTACGGCAGATAAAGTATGTGGATGGACGAAAGGAAAGTGTAGGCATGGTGAGACATGGTGGTGGGATGAAGATATAAGAAAGGTTTTGGAGGTCAAGAAGGAGAGGTTTAGGGTATGGAGAAGGGACATGACGGAGGAAGCGGAGTCTGAGTATAGAAAGGCTAAGAAGGTTGCAAAACAGGCAGTGGCAACTGCAATGACGAAAGCATCAGATAGGTTAATGAAGGAAATGGAATTTGATGTGAGTTCGAGGAAAATGTTCAAAGTAGCGAAACAGTCAATGAAGGATAGGAAAGATGTTATAGGGAATGGATGTGTTTGGGATGGATCTGGTAAGTTGTGCATAGATGAGGAGGAAAAAGCTCAGGTGTGGAAAGCTCATATGGAAAGGTTGATGAATGAAGAGAATGAGTGGGATGGAGATGTGGAATCCGCGGTCACACATGGACCTATAGAGAAGGTGACGTTGGAGGAAGTAGAGAAAGCATTTAGAGAAATGAAACTAGGTAAGGCGACAGGGGTTTCGGAAGTGGCGGCAGAACATAAAAAAGCGAGTGGGGTGATAGGAATTGAAGTTATGATGAGAATTGCTAACAGTATGTTTGATGATGAAGGTATGCCTGAGGATTGGCGACACACTGTGTTGGTGCCGTTGTATAAGGACAAAGGAGATGTGAGAGATTGTGGGTCATATAGGGGTGTGAAATTGCTAGAGCACGGAATGAAGGTAGTGGAGAGGGTGCTTGAGAGGAGGTTGAAAAATATGGTGACAGTTAATGAAATGCAGTGTGGGTTTATGCCTGGTAGGGGAACGGTGGATGCGTTGTTCATGGTGAGAATGTTGCAGGAGAATTATAGAAAGAAGAAACGAAGATTGTACATGTGTTTGGAGGATCTAGAAAAGGCTTTTGATCGAGTACCGAGGAAGGTCATTGAATGGGCGTTGAGGAAGAAAGGAGTGAATGAGAGACTTGTTAAAGCTGTGATGCAGCTGTATGAAGGTGCAAAGACAAATGTGAGAGTTGGAAGGGGGATGTCTTGATGGCTGATATCATAGAAGAATTGCAGTTAAAATTTGACAGATGGAAAAGTGTTATTGAAAAGATAGGGTTAAAAGTTAACATTGATAAGACGAAGGTAATGGTGAGTGGGGAAGGTGGGGAGCGAGTGATAAGTAAAATAGATCCCTGTGGGGTATGTGACAGGAGAGTGAAGGCTAACTCGGTATTGTGTATAGGATGTCAGAAATGGGTGCGTAAGAGATGTAGTGGTGTGAGGGGGGCACTGAAAAAGGTGGAAGGCACGTTCAAATGTAAGAAATGTGTTCATGGTGTGATTAATAGGACGGACGAAAGGACGGGGTTGAGTGGTGGTATTGAAAGAGTGGAAAGCTTTGTTTACTTAGGGGATAAGCTGAACGCGGATGGAGGATGTTTGAGCGCAGTTACGGCTAGAGTTCGTGTGGGATGGACGAAATTTAGGGAACTGGGTGGGGTATTGTGTGGAAAGAAATGGTCAGTGAAGATGAAAGGGAGGGTATATAAAGCATGTGTGAAAGCAGCGATGGTGGGTGTTGAGGAGAGAGGAGGAAAGTGTACTGCAGAGGGCTGAAAGAGCTATGGTGAGGATGATGTGTGGGGTTAAAGTGAAGGATAGGAGGAGTAGTACAGAGGTGATGTCAATGATGGGACTGAATGAGGACATTGTGACATTGATAAGGAGATCGAGATTTCGGTGGTATGGACATGTGTTGAGTAGGGATGAAAGGGTCGGGATTAGACGAGCGTTGGAGTTCGAGGTTGAAGGAATGGTAGGAAGGGGTCGTCCGCGATTGGGATGGAGAGAGCAGGTGGAGAAGGACAGGGTGAAAGCGGGATTGCGTGATACTGAGACGAGTGACAGATGTTGATGGCGTCGAGGGGCATTTCGGTTTCATCATAGGTAGCCAAACGGCAACCCCCGATCTCGGGGAAAATGTCGTCTAAACGTGTGTTGTTGTTGTAGATCGTGAAAAAAAAATATAGAGCCCTTTAATTATTTCAAAAAATGTTATCATTGCAATACTTTCTTTTGCTGCATGTACACCCACTAAATTTAAAGAATGGTTATTTAATTCGCATAAAGTGCCAAAGCAGAGGTAGGCAAACTTGGGAAATATCAGGAGTTGAATCAAATAAAAGACCATAGTACTTTGCATTGCAAATTTTTTGCAACAGAGAATTTTGAACAGAGTTAGCCATTAAATAAATAAATATTTTTGTTGTCTACTGTAACATCACCTAAATGTTGCTTCATAATTGGATCAAATTCAGATAGCAACTTTACCAGACCAATAAAATTCCCATCTTATTTTCATTATCAGTTATTGATTCCCTATGTGTTGTTAGGTAAGATTATGAGAAGCCAGGTATTTTATACATCATAAAAGTCTTTTTAATACATCACGCCATTTTTGTTTTTCATGTTCTATGGTCAATTGAAGCTGGAAATCAATCAGTGCTGGATTATTTAAATTGTTCTCCATTTCTTTTTATTCAGTAAAACATTTTCTATGTTTAGTTGAATTCTTGTACGCTTTTAAAGATTCAGAATGTTTCCAATTTATATATCTCCCTTTTGTTTCAAGGGCAGATTTAGGCTCAAGGCGTGTAAATAAAATACAACATAAACAATAAGCTGATTGGGTATGAATGGAATAAACAAGTCAAAATTGATGTACTTACTCAACATTTCCATTTTCTAGTTTTTTTTAACCTACCAATGTTAAAAGATCAGTTTTTCTTAAGTAAAAACGGCCCTTCAACATTTTGGAGAAATACTGAACCTTTTTCTACAATTTTTACACGTAAAGCATCATTTATTAAAGCTTTTCCAAAAATTTTGTAAAAATTTAAATTACCAAAATCAAGTTTACTTAGAAATCACATCTTATATATATCTTCATTATTTCTATAGAAATACTTTTATTGTCGCAGTAAAGTTTCTTCATCAGCATGAAAAGAATCACTTTGACAATTATCAACAGACTTGGAAGAACATGGTTGGAGGAATGATGACATCAATTTAATGGACTTAACTGCTTCTTGCTCAGCTAACATGCGCTTATTAAGAAGCACTTGGCACCACTTTCTTTTTTTGTTTTCTTCACAAAAAATTAGGGTAGAACATTTCTCAATATGGTTTTTTTTAGAATATATAAATATAAAATAAATAATTTAAATTTTAACTTAACTAAATCAAAATCTTACTAGGAAACAAAATTAGCAGAAAAACAACGTCTTAATTAAAAGGCGAAACGCTTAAAAATAACTTCTCGTCACTTAAATATGTTAAAGTATTAAAATTTAAATTTGAATCTAACTTTAACAACATCCGAAATCCGCATGTAAACATTTAGGGAAGGCGCACTTCGAAAGAATCTGCTTTAAACAAACAATCATTGACTTAGGCGTCCTAATACCAAAAATAACAAATTTTTTATATTTATTTTTAAATCATATTTTCAAATATCAAAATTTGTTACAACTAATTGATCGTTTGAACAAAATTATTATGTTTATATTTTATATAATTAGAATTTTGCCAATTGTTATAATTTAATTCTTTGTTTTTATTTTTTAAAATAAAATTAAAAAATTTGAAAACGCGGCTTCTTCGTGTTAAAATATTCAAATTGGCGTTCAAAAATCATATAAAAAACTAATAAGATAGGACGCGTTTTGAAAAAAATTGTTTTTTAAACAAAAACTTATATTCATTTAGGCGTCATAATACCTGTCGGATCGCAAACCCTAACGACTAAAACTAACGATCCTCAAAATTAATAAAAACACCACAAACTAACAAAGTGATTTGTGGGAGCTATATAACGAAAAAACTGCGATACTATTTTAAAAGGTATTCGGGTTGCTGAAGTCCAAAGTAGGGACGAAACGCGTGTCCAAACAAATACTCTTCCTTTCTTCTTTTTACTCCCGCTCACTGCTCTTCCTGGTTTGGTGTTCTTTTACATTAGCGCAACCGCAACAAATTGGTGACCTCGACGTGATCCAACAGTTCGCTTCATCCATCACGTTCGCCAACACACACGCCACGATCATGTGAGGGAGTATCGTCGGATCGCAAAACCTAACGACTAAAACTAGCGATCCTCAAAATAATGTAGCGTTATAGCGTTATATAGATTCAATCCGTATTTTTGATTAAATTTTTGGTAGAATATTGTGATTAATATGTGTCATTTTATTTCAAAACATGATTTACAGTTTAATTTTTTTGAAATATTAGGAGAAAAGAATTTTGAGTTGGAAATAAGACTTGCTTAACAGAAAACCACCTCTCTATTTCAAGTCTTGCTGGTGCTTCATCACACTTCTCCCGATAGCTGTTATTTCTTTTAAATGTAAAAAAAATGCAATGTTCTCCATTTTCAATCATGTTGCTACTGCAATTTTTTTAATTTACGAAAAATTCTAAACATTTGTATTGTGGTGATTGGAAATATGAATTTGAAGTGAAACAATTGCCAATCTTCTAAAAACAGGTGACGAGTTTGTTCTGCATAAAAAAAAAGTACCAGCGACCCATTCTCTTCAATAAGTCCTACTTTTTTCCCAAAAGTTGGGATCCTGTTGGATTGGTTCATCGTGACTGCCATCATCGTTCTCTACTTCCTCCATCATGCAATCCGTCTCTACCTTGGGTTTGTCTGTCTTTTTCTCTGTGCGTTTGTGTTTGTTTTGTGTGTGTGTGTGTTTGCTGTGCGCGTGTTTGTCGTGTATTAGTTTTCAAAAGATCATTAAATATTTTCTCTTGATCATAGATTAAGTTGTAGGAATTTCAACCAGCGAATATGTGTTTCATGTTTATTTGGCACATCTGGGTAGTTAACATTACTTGTCAAAATAAAGTTTGATAATAAATAAAAATCTTGTGAATGAATCAAAAGAGCAGAATTCTCCTAGCGTTGATGCCCACATTGATGACGACTGCCAAATCTTGGTATATAAATCTCACCATGGCAAAAAACAGTTTTATTGTAAATACTTTGGTGTCATGATTATGTCGGATGTTTTAATGAGGTCTCTAATAGATTAATCTAGTTCATTTTGATCTTCATTTTGCTCCTTTCATTTTTTTTTGTAGTATAATATTTTAAATGTCATCTATTTTTTAATCTTAACATAACATTTAAATATTGAGCGTAGATTAAAATCCACGTGCTCATATCTAATATGTGATAATAATTTAAATGTCCAAAAAACAATAATAATATGAAATAGCATTAAAAAAACATATAAAAAAAATAAATAAATACAATAATAATAACAACAACAATAAAAAAAAACTACAGTACCATACCGATAACAAAATAATCGAACATACAATGCAACATGTATCTGTCTGTCAATCCAACTTATTGTCCTCATCACCGTATGTGTAGTTTCAGCACGTCAACCTCACAGCAAATTGATGCCAACACACTCAACACTCACTTTGCTTCCATGTCAACCGACCCGTCCTACAAAACTCTACCAACAAAAGCAAAAACAATCAATAGTCGTAAACATCAGCAATTTACCCCATACTCCGTCCTGCACATGCTAACAAAGGCCTGTCCATCCGGTACAGGTCCAGACGGTCTACCAGCATAGTTTCTACAAATCATCGCTCCATTCATCTCCAGCACCTTGAGTTCACTCTACAATTACTGCTCATCCCATCACAATGGAAATCTATCACAATTCATCCAATTCCTAAATCAAAATACCCATCGTCACCAATAGATTATCGCCCAATATCTATCACCCCCATACTTTCACGTATTCTAGAGAAATTCATCCTTAGGTCATTCATCTATCCATGTTTCAACCATCCATCCATCAAACCACTATTACATGATCAGTTTGCATTTCGCCCTAAAAGTTCATCTACATCCGCCATCATCTCTCCTACTTCCACAATAACAACTTTCCTTAAAAATAATAATTATGTTGATCCTATTGCTCTCGACTTTTCTAAAGCTTTTGACACCCTCAATCACCTCTCACTTTCAAATAAGTTAGCCTCTCTTCCTCTACCTGACAAAATTTACAATTTTATAATAAATTTTCTTTCTAATAGGAGTCATTCTATTTTCTTTAGCTCTACTCTTTCATCCACTTTACCTATTAATTCTAGCGTAGTTCAAGGTTCTGTCTCTGGACCTTTATCATCAATGCTTCTACTGTCAAAACTTTCCATAGCTCTAATCACATCTTCAAATACGCTGACGACTCTTACCTTATCATCCCATCATCTAACTCAAACACCATCGCTAAACTTTATTTAGAGCATTTTTTCTGATAATATACCTGATAATAGCTGAAGTTGCCTGTTTTTGATTTATCATCTATCACCACCAACAACTGCCTCTACATCTTTCATAAAGTTATACCTTTGATCCTTCCAAGTTTTCAAAAATTAATCTGGCCAAACACATACAGGAGAAAAAACGGCAAATAATTCAAGTTTATCATCGGTGCAAGACAGGAAAGCTAATAATAAAAATCTTGTGACGAATGAAGCAATGACGCATTTAATTATAATCCTATTAAATAATATATTGCAGATATTTAGATGATGTTTTTTTATTTATTTACTAAGGATATCAATTTAGACTTATTTAATACATATTATTAAATGAATTTAAATATTAGTTTATAATGCATTTTCTTGATGGTTATATTTTAAAATATTATGTAAATTACAGACTGCTTATATTTAAACGACACTGATAACCTCAGTATTCTTCATTATCACTCATCTCACCTAAAACATATATTAATAAACATTCTTAAATTTCAGTTTTGCAGGCATTTTCGTTTATGTAGTGCTGGAATCATTGTCACATATTTCAAAGTTGTTGATTTGATCCCTGTTACCTAGGGTTCATAAATATCGTATTATTCACAAATGTTTGAATGATATTATCAATCAACATGATATTAATAATATTTATGACAATAATAAAGACAATAATTATTATAAAGCACCAATCAATATTGCACCTACTAATGATGAAGATAATGAATTTTTTATAAAGGGGGAAAGGTAAATATTTTTAAATAACTATGTAATACACTTATGGTTTTTCCACACCATGGATATTATATATTTCCATGTTCCACACTTAAATAATTTAAATGCATTTAAACAAAATTTAATTAAATTCATGACTTTACACCCGAAATATATGTGAAAGAACGGTTAGATTTATTAGTAAGATATGTAAGATATTTGATAAGAATCTTCCTATCAAATATCTTACATATCTTATATATAATGCACTGAAGATGAGTTATCTATAACTCGAAATAACTATTTGCAAATTTATTTAATAAAAATTTAAAAAAAAAACAATAAAATCTCTAATTTCTCTGAAATTAATAAAATAAAAAGAAATATGAAAAAGTTGAACAATGTTGAAAGTAGTGTTGAATTTTTGAAATGTTGCGTTAACGACAGTCTGTTACCAAAATATATATATATATATATATATATATATATATATATATATGCATTAATACTATAGAATATATATATATATGACAATAATAAAGACAATAATATATATAGTATATATATATATATATAGTATACATTTTATATAAATGTATGCACTATTACTATACATGAGTATAGTTCAATTCCTATGTTTTACAGTTTGGCTGCTACTACACGTTGCTGCACTCTACATGTATGACTGCGAATTATTACATTTATTACATACCACTTTTACATGCATGTTCATTTTTTTCAGATGTTTTAATTTGTGTTAAATTTATCACATACCTATACATATATCGCTTTCTAACT